ATTTTACATAAAAAGTATATATTTAAAATTAATATTTAAAGTTTTAGTTAAATAATTACAAAAATTAAAAGTGGAAGTAGGCAAATTTGCAGGTGTTACAAATTAAGGGATTGATATATGTACTGATTAATGCTCTATAGATATAGGTTAGGTTCAAGTTTGTAATGATCAGATTCTTCACAAATTTTCTACACAAATTCAACTTTGGCCATTCTCATATAAAGCTGAATTAGTTTTAATTCTAGCAGCAATAAGTACTTGTCCTCAAAATAGTTAAATTCAAATCTATACTGACTCCTTATTAGTTATTCTTAAATATAACAAACTTATCAAAAAACTACTTATTATATCAAAAACTCTTTCACTAAAATATTAGCCTATTTGAGTTACTCTACTTAATTACATTAAATCTTTAATTTTACTATTGAATTTCACAAAATATAAGCATATAGTAATAACATATATAATGACAATACTGATTATTTAGCTAAACATCACTTACTTCAACCTTACTTACAATTTAACTATACTAATTTCTATAATCCTCATTATATACTGCAGTTTGAAAACTTCTCTGTTGAATAACCTACACAAAAATTAATTAAAAATATTTGTAATTCTTATATTATAGCCTTGTGGTCTTCTCAAAGCATATACAAAATATCTCTCATATCTTCTAATATATTGATTAGAATACAACATAGGACTTCCTTAACAATAACCAAAAACAATTATCTAACTTTACTATATTTTGAATCTACCAGAGTGACTACAAAAATTGCAGATCATATGACACTATCAATTACCTCTGACTTCATTGATCTACTACTACAAATATGATCACATAACAAATCTGCAAGTATCATGTATGAGTTAATTTTAACTTTCATATTATATTACGAGATAAATCTATAAAGCTTATATTGTGTAGAGAAACCTTGAATATAATTAAAATTTACTATCACCAATATACAAATTCAAAGCTATTTATTTATCAAACAAAAGTTTCTAAAAATGCTTTGTAATGAACTTATTTATATTATTTTATTTTATTTTTTTAACTTATGCTATTTTTTTTATTTTTTTTTTACCAATTTCATAGATTACTATATAGTGAATTTAAAAAGTTTTAATGTTAAGAACAACTTATCAAATTTAAATATTTAGATTTTTTCAAACACTTTACTTAATGGATTGAAAGCAAATTTTTAATCAGTCAGAAATTGAACAATTAACCAAGTAAGCTACCATTTTGATGAATGAATCAGTGAGAAGCAAACTATATTTTTTTATAATAATTTCATTCTTCACTTATTTGAAAACATAATAAAAAATATATAAATAAGAAATCAAAATAGTTTTTTTACTTGTTGCTATAAAGAAACTTTCACTATAAATTGATTTTGTTGCAGTTGTAGCAAAAATTTTAAATTGTAAATAAATTAAAAAGAAAAGTGACATGACCAAAGTTGAAGCTTCAGCAGCTGGTTGAAAAAAAATTTTTCATTTGATTTTTTTAGATGTTTTAGATATAATAGCTAGTATTCAAAATCTTGTTTCAATTTTATATTCGTATTTCATATTCTTGTATATAATTTCCAGTTTTCATTATATAAAATTAGCAACTTATGTGTTCTTATTAGAGAATTCATATCTCATGAGAATGCTAAAAACACAAATTTCAAACACTAGTTATAGCATGAAAAATAAAAAAGTGTATGTTTAAATATTTTATTCTATAATATCGTCATTAATTGTGCTGTTTGGCATCTTAATACTCATTATTTAATTAATTATTTTTTGATGTTTGAGAATATTCTTATTGTAAAATTATAATAAAAAAATAGGTGTATTTAAAATAAATTACATTGTCTCAATTTCATTCTTAGAATTAGTTTTAATGAGATAAAACTATGGACATTATTTTGCTTATTAAATATCGATAAATTTTAATAACTACCTACTTTTAATATATGTAAAGTTTATTATAATCTAAACATATTAGCTGAAACTCAGTTACAATTACAGATGCGTAAATTATTCAAAAATAATCTAAATTTTATTTATTGCACAAAATTCTTTAGATAAATTTTACTCATATGCTATTAGCTTATCTAGTAAATTAAATTTTCAGGTTTATCACCATATCACAATATATAAGTCTTAAGCTAATCGCAATTTTTAAATTCATAAAATAGCAGATTTGATTTTATTTGCTCTACTGCAGTAATATACAGATGACTAAAATATATATCACGAGATATGAATTATAGTTAACAAAACCTTGGGACTATTAAATCAAATTATTAACTGTTAATAATTATTACTTATCATGCATATCATACAAAATATACATGCTAATTTAGATAGTGTTTCCAACAATTTTTTAGCCTAATTATGCTTGCTACGCAATGGTTTGTAATAGTCTTACAGATTCTATTATTTGCTACAAATATATCAGTAACATTAGTGATATTCTAACCAAATAAAGAAAAAATACAAAGTGAATTGGTATGAATATTGTGTTTCATCTGATAGAGAGGAAAAGAAAGAAGTAACATAGTATTAGAAAGCTTGTAATAACTGCTTAAAGTATTGAGTATTGCGAAAAAAACATTTTAAAATATTTGCTTTTTGCATATAATATAATAAACCTTATAGAAGGAAAATAGTTACAAAAAATATCATATTTTATCTAATAAAAAAGTGATACCATATTTATCAATCTCAAATTAGGAAAAAGAGTAAAAAGAAGATTATAGAAAAGATTGTAAAAAAAAAGAATTTAGATTAGAATTAAATATATGTAATCAAATCTATAAATAAACTTATTTTTACCTTCATCAAAGTTAATTTTATAACTTTTGTATTAACAATTTGAGTTGAATATCTTGTCACTTTAATTGAATTGTTCTACAATTTAAATCAAAGAATATTAAACAATCAATAATTATATATTTCATTATACTGATAAAAACTAATTTCTTTTTTAGCAATACTCTCTATAGTAGTACTTCTTGACGAGCAATTTATAAAGATTAAAAATATTTTAATATATAACTTATAGCCATATATTAACATAATAAAATCTTAAAACATAGAATTTCCTGATGAATGCAGTAGATGTAAATGTAAACATTCTAATAACCAATTCGTATAGAATAGAAACTAGCATAAAATATATAAAAAATGTAATAAAATTAATGATTTACCTGAGAAAGATTTTACTAATACAATTATTATATCTGAAAACCCTGAGCCAGAACAATCTAGAAATCATTTTGAAGTCAATTATCTTGATTTGGGAGACTTAATTGAACAAGAAAATCAAGAATTGACTATTAGTGTACAAACAGAAGAAATAGCTGATATTGCTTATCAAACTCACCTGACAGTAAATCTGAATAGTTCTATATTTCAAGACAAGACATCAAAAGAAATAGCTAATCTTGTAATCGTTGAAATCAAAGGTAGTGATAACTATTTATAGAAGTAAGTATTATTAAAAATACATATATACTTAAAAAAAAAAAAAAAAAAAAAAAAAAAAAAAAAAAAAAAGATATATATAATATTACTAATTAGTTTTATTACAGCTTTCATAGTACAGAAATGTTATGAATATTTGAAGATACAATTGAGCAATTTTATTATTTTTGCTGTCAATCAAAAGAGTTACAATTCAAAAATTATAAAGATTCAAATAGAAATTAGCGAATACGTTATAACTATAGAAGAAAAATTACTATTCAAGTTGATTTAGTTCTTAATGCTGTAGAAGTAAATATTTATCATGGTTCTCTTTATCTATGCTCAGACCTTTGCACTGAAATGTCTAATGAATTACAGAAAGAAATTAAAGCATACTCACATCTCACTACAATAGAATTAAAAATCATCTATGACACCAAGGTTTTGATATCTCAAAATATTCTTCTAAGCATATCTACTACTGGAAGTCTATATCAAATCAAAAACTATTTCAATGCTCTAATAATCATATTGAATCAGCATGTAAATTGCTAAATAAACATAGATCCTATAGTTTCTAATCATGCTTAGAAATAAAAGAATCAGATACTACTGCTATTAGCTTTATTACACCTCTGCTAGAAGAAATTAAAAACCGTAATATTAGAATTAGTGAGATTTATCTTGATGCAACTTATAAAACAGCAAGAAGGTGCTATGAACTATATGATATCATAGCTGATGTAGAAGGTACTAGTTTTCCAATTGCATATTTAGTCCTTGATACAACAAAAGTAACGGATACAAGTACTAGCACAGGAAAATAGCATATGATTCTAGAGTACTTCCTAGAAACTATAAAAACACATAGTATAAATCTAGACTTTGTATTTACTGGCAAGGATTTTGCTAAAATTAATGCTGTATCTAAAGTATGGAAACCTTGGTCAGTTCAACTATATGCTTAGCATATGAATCAGGCATTGAAGCTTAAACTAAAAGAAAAAGCCAAACTATCAAAATATGATAAGTAGCTATATATAATCTATAATGTTGCACAGGCTACTAACGAATTTGACTTCATTGATCCAGCTTTCTACCTAATGGAAAATGATTATGACCCTCAAAGTATTTTATCTGTCCATTAGCATATCAAAAAATAGTTTTGATACTTACACAAAAACATTTTGATATGCATCCTATAATACCTGTTGATGCTCAAAGAACTACTCTAACACCAGTAGATATCAGGTATAATGCTATAAAAGAAATATATCAATTTTGTGTTAAAAATTTATTAAGGCTATTATGGGCATACCTCTGAACTAACTGATATTTCCCAGATCGATAGCATCTTTGAGCACGTTCAGTTAGGCCAACTATACCTTTTGGCAAAACTACAATGAAAATAGAAGCCTATTGGAATATTATAAAATGATGTTATTTACATCGATTTAATCACCCTAAACTGGACTTATTATTTTGGACACTTATAAACAAGATAATACTTGCATAAAAGGAAAGACTTCTGCAAATTGGGGCTGGTATTGTTGAACTGTAATGGTGGAATGATTTTAAAAAAAAATGAAATACTGTAAGAACAAAAAGTGATCAAAATACAAATATTAATGTTGATATAAATACTAAAGGCAAAAAAAAACAAGATAATAATGAAAAGTTAGAAAGTTCATATTTCACTGATATTAATCAGTAGGTATGTAGCTACTCAGCTTTTCTCAGAAGCTGTTTTTTGCTATATAAACATCTAGTCCAGCAGGTTTTCATTATGCAAAATAGCTAATATTGATGATTAATATGAGATAATTTTAGGTATCATACTACTCCTCTATTCCTTGTTCTAAAAAATTGTGAAAGTAATGAAACCATATCTGTTGTACCTATTGAAATTGAACCTACTATTAATAATATGCTTCACAATAGTACTAATATTCATGAAGATCTAGAAGAAGAAGCATGTTCTTTTGTTGAGTCAAATTAGGCATTATTCAAACAGGCAATCAAGCGAATCATTACTGAAAAGTCTGCTAATAATTGGTGCTAGGTTTGCTCAATAATAGAATAGAGCCGATTAGTGCAAATAGAAAAAGATATACAGACAACAAAAAGACAAAAATACTAGCGAACAACTTGGACATCAAATAGAAAACCATACTTGATGTACTTATTGTATTCAGAAGAACTAGGTAATTCTGAAAAAACAGGTTCCAGTAAAAGTATTCTAGCTAATATGGCTAATAATACTGGTACCATAGGTATAGAAAATACTAGAGTATGTGATAAAGCTAATTGAATATACATATTATTTAAAATCTTAAGAGTTTAAAATATTAATTATTATCAATATAATTAACTATTTCTTTGACAAATACTTATTATACTTACTCTAACTAAGCCCATACAAAGTTAATTAATTGTTTTCTATAATATGTGAATTTAAAAATGACTCACTCATCTGCTTTTAATTTTTTAATATGAAAATTTTATTTGTAAAAAATATATATAATTTTTTTTTGTTTTTTTTAAAAAAAATCCACTCAGAAGTATTCATATCAATAACTTATAAAATTTTTTCTCAAAAATTTACAAAAGCTGCCTGACTGAGTTATGAGAAACAACTAATTAACTTTATATAACCTAATGTATTTATCTTTTTGTTCAAGTTCCCCTTAATTTAATTATAATTATGAATGAATTTTATTGTATTAATGTAATTATATATAATATGCTAAATGTTTTATAATAACTGAGAATAAAAGAAAGTATATTTGAGTGAAAAAATTTTAAGATAATTAATATTGTGTAATCTGATAATTATGGATTAGCAGGGTCGAAGATGATTAACAGTATCATATGATCTGCAATTTTTGTAGTCACCCTAGTGGATTCCTATATTTCAACTAAGTTACCAAAAATTATTCTGAATTAAAAACTTATTAAATAAACTCCCAATACTATCATATCTTTATTAACTTTATCCTAATATTTTTACACATAATAATTGCATTTCCTGCAATACTCAAAAAACTCTCAACATTGGCTCTTTTGCTCTAAAAATCTCTCTATACATAATTTAATACTACAAACAATTCAAAACTTTTTTACATCTTCATTACTTGATCTTCTAACTCAAATAACTTAAGAATTACATAATCAACTAACCTTACATTTCTTTCTACAACACCAACAACTCTTTCAAAACTTTTCAACAATTGAAACTACTCTCTAAGGATTTATTTTATTTTCATTTATCGAACTACTTGCTACATATATTAATATTTATAAAATAGCTTCTAAGCTTATATTCAAATTCTTCCTCAAACTCTCTAATAATATCTATAAACAAATTTGGAAGCCTTACTATATTATACTCTCTGAATAGAAAACTCAAAACAATATTCTTAAATATCTTCAACAAACCTCTTATTCACAACAATTACCATGCTTAAGTCACTTCAAAATAGGCTATACATATACTTGCCTATATGGCTAACCTAACCAACTATATGACAATAATAACTAATATCTTTCACTTGAACTAGCACAATATAAAATTAAAATCTGGTCCACTTTATGGACCAGATATAGTTACTCATCTAATACAATTATAAATATTCAAATCTAGGTAAGTTTTTAACTGCTCTAGTAGGTTTAGGTTGCAGATAAATTATATAGTTTATTGTTTATAACTATTTACTATTTATAGTCTAAATCTTAATTCTTGTAAACAAATTTGTAAATTTTGAAAAACCCCTTGTGGAATCTTGCACAAATTTCAATAAAGATAAAAGCAAAACCTCACCTTAATATTAAAAAAAAAAAAAAAAAAAAAACTTCTTAATAAAGTTTATAGAATATATTTTTAATAATATATTCTATATATAATATAGATCTTATATTATTAATATTTTATTAAATTATTTAAAAAATAGTATTTACTCTTTAATTTTCTAAGCAAATTTGTCTAGAATATAGTCTAAGAGAAAATACTCTATTTAGCTTTTTTTGTATTATGCATACTAAATACTTATATATAGTTTCTAGTAGTATTATAAGTTTTGTACTAGCTAGTAAGTAGTCATATTCTATTATCTTAGATATAAGAGAAATATATTTTACTTTCTATTTGTTTAGAAATATTACTAATTTAAGTATAGCTTTATTATTTTTTTAATTATAGTTAGTTCTGTTTTACTTAGTATTATATATAAAATACTAAATTGATAAGAATATGCTAAAAAAATTTTCTCAAACTATTTAATAAAGTTGTTAAAAGAATTTTTTAGAGAGTAAATATTGAATTTTTCAAAAAAAAGTATTTAAAAGAGGTTGAATAATAGTTTGATATTGAATTTTAAATCCAAAAAATAGTAAAATATTCTTATTCTTTATTAGTATATTAAATTTTGGAATTAATTTTAAACTTTTTAGATCTAAGTTTAAAATCATTATTAAATTTTGTATAAGTTAATTGATTAGAAATTATCTATTAAGTCAAGATAAAGATATACTATATTCAAATATAGTTGAAGATAGTTTTTAATTTTATAAAGTAGAATAGTAATAGATAATACAAAGATTACTTCATAATTATTTTAGTAAAGAGAATAGTTATAAATTTGTATAAGAGATTTTTAAGAGTAAATTCAAGAAGATCAAAGTGAATTGTTATATTAAAATTAATTTCTGAGTTAGCTTTATAGATTAATTCTATTAGAAAATTAGGTCTTTGATTTGCTATTATGCAAATAAAGTATTTGAATAAAATTATTTCTGGTATAAAGTTATAATATTGTTTTTGTGAAAGATAAATAGTTAAGATCAAAGTTTAGTTAGCAATTTAATATTAGATTCTATTTTTTCTGTAATTAAAAAATTTGTAAGCTAGTTAAATATTGAATTTAGTTTAGATTTTTAGTTTTAGTAAATGTAGTTTGTAGTTGTATTAAATTTTTAGTTAAAGCTTTGAAGTAAGAAAGTTTATTGTTTTAAAAAGTTGAATTTCATTAGTATTAGTACTTTTTCTTTTAGAGTTTAGTATTTTTAAAATATCAATTTTTATATTATTATCCAAGATTTGGTCTTCAGAGTTTGTTAAATTTTGAGTTAATTTGTCTTTTGAACTAGTAGTAGAATTAATTTCAATTTTAAAAGATATTTCTTTAGTAGTATTTGTATTAGTAGTAGTATAAAGTTAAGATAAGTAAGTATTGTTTGTTAGTGTAGTAATAGAATATAAGTTAAAAATATCAATATCATAGTTGATATTAAAGAAGTTAAAAAATGAGTAAATGAATTTTGAAGTTATAATTTTTGAAATATTGCAATAAAGTTTTTTCTAGTAAAAGAAAATTATAAGTAGATAAAGATATAAAGCTAAAATTAGTAGAAAAAGAAAAGTAGTTAGTATTGTTTTTTGAGAGACAAATATAGTAGTATACTTTGCCTTTGTAGAAAATAGTATTATTAGTTAGTTTATAGTTGTTATTTTTTTTTTAAACTTAGGTAATCTTGTCTGTTATTTTATTAAAGAAAAGCTACTATAAGCTACAAGATAATTCATTATAAAATTTTATACTAAACTATCCTCCTTTTGATTATTTTAAGCTTACTTGACTGCTTTTAGGTACCTAAGTATGATCTGTCACAGCAATTATTTCTCTCATAAAAGTTTTAGTTTGTACATACAAACTTTTAACTTCTAATCATTGAGAGGCTGCTACTAGCCTAAGTTTATAGTTGTTGTTAATAAGTCTATATTTGATTAAAAGCTAATATTTTGAATAAATATATAAGTTAATATGGAAAATAAAGAAATACTTTTAGAGATTTTGACAAGATTTTGTAAAAAGACTTTAGTTTTTTTTTTTTTAATTAAAGGCAGCTTACTTTGCCAAGCAGATTTTATTAGTTTAATATATGAGGTCATCTGTTGACAATTCTCTACAGTTTGTAATTACATGAAGAGTGTACAATCTGCCACACGTACAACTTTAGTTATTGTCTAATTTAAGTAGTCCGCCATACAGATAGATTACCTGTTTGGTTCTACACAAGCTGCCATACCTGTAACCTATTTGTGAGTTACCTATTTAAACACTCTGTTCACCTAACCAATACCGGAATCAACTAATGTCACTGTAACACCTAACTGCTTAAGCCAGCTAGCTCATTGCAGATCCATTTACCTAACTTAGCTTAGGTCCTTTCAGCATGCATATTGCTTAACATATTGTGGCACGCAGAGCTCTAGTTAACCTCGTAAGCAATCCTACTAGAGCGGTCTATGCCCATTTCACAGATTCACCTAGTTTAGACTCTTGCAAATATTTGTACAACCTTAGTTCCTACCGTGGCTCTCCACCAGTTTTCTGTATCTATCTTCTCGGATATTTCACAAGGCAGATCCTCCCAATTCAGTTAGCTGCCAAGTCAGGTTGGTGTTACCGATCTTCCCTGTGGAAAGGATTTATACGTACCTGACTCGATTGGCATCTTTTGAAGATAGTTTCTTTTCTAGATCAAGCGTTAGCTAGTATAACTGTTGAAAGCCGTACAACTTCACCAACTCGAGATTTCTACCATGCAGGTCCCCTGCTCATAGATCCTATCAAAATTTATTTGTATAATATTATGCTCTCTAAATATTCCGTCATACTTCCAATATCCGAATGATATTAGTGCAATGTGATTTACAGGGTTACAACCTCAGAAACGGACAAGGTTTACCATAAGTTGGGTACAAAGGTCTGAGTAATTATTCAAATTCATCGAAGTGGAATTTGAACCCCAGACCTCTTGCATAGCAGTTTGGCAACCTAACCACTACATTAAGATCGCCAGACCTAGACTTTAGTTTTTTTATTAGTTAAGTTTGTTATATAGATTATAAAATTAGAGAAAGAAATATTATATTCTTTATTAATTACAAAAATGAAGTTAATATAGTAGTTACTATATAGATATTGAACAGTTGCTAAAATCTTTAAAACAAATATAAAATAAGTAATTTTTTTACTACTTCAAAGAACTTTAGTGAGACAAGTAATTAGCTTGCTTTTGAGAAAATAAATAAAATATTCTTTAGATTATCTTCATAGAAAGCTACTTCAAAGCAATTAGAATATTTTCTGTAAAAATAATTTAAATTAAATGTATATAGATTTTTACTTATTAAAGTATATATTATAGCTATATTGAGTTGTAGTTAACTATCAAGTTAAGATGAGGTTTGTAAGAGCTTCTTGATATAGTATAGTTTGTATTATATAATTTTATATAACTTGTATCTAA